CTTTCTCTCTCTCTCCTCTCCCTTCTCCTCCTCCTCCCTTCCACTCTCTCTAAAAACCAATGGGAAAATATCCTCAGGTGAAAATTTAAAAAAAAAGAAGTTTTGAGCACAAAGCTAAGACTGTCTGGGTCTGAATCCTAGTTACTTCTCTCAAAGCTTCTGTGACTTTGGGCAAGGTAATTAACCTTTCATGCCCCAGTTTCCTCATGTGTAACGTGAGGTAATAATTATGAGATATGAGAGGTGGGTCTGAAAATGAAATGACAAAATGTGAAAATTTTTTTCTAAGAAAGAGATAATACCTAAAATTTTTCTTTGGAAAATAGAGTAAAGATATCTCGCTCTTCAAATTTTTCAGTTGAGGGACTGATAGCATGTAAAGCAAAAATTGAAAAAGGTGTTTGCAATACACATCACTGATATAACTAGAAATTGAGTTTGATATCCAGGTAGATATATTAAACCTCACAATCCAAATCTAAGCCTAGAGTTTTTAATATATTTAACTTACTTAACATTGAAATTTTCAAAAAATATGTCAAGTTCGATTTCATGATTCATTAGAACAGAGTTTAGTGAACTACAGCTCTTTGGCCCAATGTATTCAGCTGCCTTTAATATTTTACAGCCCATCAACCAAAAATGACTTTTACATTTTAAATGGTTATATTTAAAATTTTAAATAAGAATGTGACAACATTCTTAGTTTTGCCTTTTGGGTTACAAAGCTTAAAATACGGATTGCCTGGCCCTTCATGAATAAAATAGTCAAATCCTTATATATAAACATACTTTCATGATTTATAATAATGTATAATAGCATATTGTTTTTTCATCCATTCTGTGTTTGAACTTTTTAAATTTTTGTGGCATTTTTATTGGCATCAAGAACATGGCCTAAATCAGAGAACATAAAGAACACAGGATTATTGTCCTCCCTAAGGGAAAAAAAAAATGTAAAAACACAAACCAGGCACTTCTCTGTGAAATTGCAGAAGTGGCCTTAGGAGATTTTTCTTTGATTCTTTTTTTTTTAATTGAGATGTAACATTCTATAAATTTAAGGTTTACAGTGTGTTCATTTGATACACATATGTGTTGTGAAATGTGTTAGCTAATACCTCCATCACCTCACATAATTTCTATTTCTTTTTTGTGGTGAGAACATTTAAGATGTCCTCCCTTTGCAACTCTCAAGTATACAATGGAGTATCGTTACTATAATCATCTTGTCTATTAGATCCCCCAAACTTATTCATCTTCTAGCTAGAAGTTTATAGCCTTTGACCCACATCTTCACATTTCTTCAACCCCAAACCTCTAGCTACCACCATTCTACTATGTTTCTATGAGGTCAGCTTTTTAGATTCCACATTTGAGATCATACAGTATTTATCTCTTACAGTATTTATCTCTGTCTTAGTTCACTTAGTATAATGCCCTCTAGGATCATCCATGTTGTTGCAAATGGCAGGATTTCCTTCTTTCTCATGGCTGAAAACTATTCCGTTGTATATATGCACGACATTGCAGTATCCATACATTCACTTATGGACACTTTGGTTGTTCCCATATCTTGGCTATTGTGAAGAATGTTGCAGGAAACAGGGGAGTGCAAATATCTCTTCAAGACTGTGATTTCATTTCCTTTGGATAAATACCTAGAAATGGGATTGCTAGATCATATGGTAGTTCTATTTTTAATTGGTGAGAAACTTCCATATTGTTTTTCATGGCTCTGCCAATTTACATTCCAACCAACAGTGCACAAAAGCTCCCTTTTCTCCATATCCTCACCAATACTTATCCCTTATCTTTGAGAATCTTAGTATTCTAACAAGTGTGAGGTGACATCTCCTTGTAGTTTTAATTTGCATTTCCCTAACTAGGGATGTTGAGCATCTTTCATACTGGCTATTTGTATGTCTTCTTAGGATCAATAACTATCTGTGACCTCTGTCCATTTTTTAATTGCTAATGATTTGTATGAGTTCTTTATATACTTTGGATGTTAACCCCTTATTGGATATATGATTTGAAAATATTTTCTTTCATTCTGTAGATTGCCTTTTTATTTTGTTGATTGTTTCTTTTTTTACGGAGAGAGAGGGAGGCAGGGAGAGAGAGAGAAAAAGAGAGAAACATCAATTTGTTGTTCTATTTGTTTATGTCTTCATTGGTTGAGTCTTGTGTGTGCCTTTATCAGGGATCTAACCCACAACTTGGATGTATTGGGACAATGCTCTAACCAACTCAGCTACCCGCCGGGGCTATCGATTGTTTCTTTTGCTGGTAGAAACATTTTGGTTTGATGTAGTTCTACTTAGTAATTTTTGCTTTTGATGTCTTCTCCATAAAATATTTACTGAGACCAATATCCAGGGCTATTCCCATGTGGTTTTTTTCTGTGAGTTTTATGGTTTCAGGCCTTATGTTTGCCTTTAATCCATTGTTAGTTAAATTTGGTGAGTTGTGTAAGATAGGGATTCAATTTCATCTGTCTGCATGTGGTTATCCGGTTTTCCCAACACCATTTAAGTGAAGAGATTGTCCTTTTCCTATTGAGAATTCTTGAGTTCCTTGTCAATTACTAGTTGACCATATATGCAAAGCTTTATTTCTGGGCTCTCTATTCTGTTGGTCTATGTGTCTATTTTTATGATAATACCATACTGTATTAATATAGCTTTATATTATAGTTTCAAATCAGGAAGTGTGATGCCTCTTTCTTTGTTCTTTCTCAAACTTGTTTTGGCTACTAAGGGTCTTTTGTGGATCTGTACAAATTTTAGGATATTTTTCTATCTCTGTTAAAAATACCATTGGAATTTTGAGAGAGATTGCATTTAATTTATAGATGGTTTTCGATAGTATGGATATTTTAAAAATAATAATTCTTTTTGGAGGTTTTTCTTAAGCCATCTGATTGAATTACAAAAATATTCCCTTGCTAATGTAGTTGCTCATACATTTTCATTAGAGAAATGTGGACTATTTCATTTTTGAGCTATTTTTAATAGGGTTCAACTCATTAACAAAAATCAAATGCTGAGTTGTCATTTATTTCTGTGTATGGATTGCATGATTGTGTCACTAGTATTTCCACTGATGACATTAAAGTTATCACCTTTTCTTTTTTTATGCATTAAATTATGTGTTACATCTCAGAGTTTCAGAATTATTTTATTTCTGATTTAAGTGTATCAAAGAAATGCTCCATTGGTAAGGCATATTTTCTTTCCCATCTTCTTATTCTAAAACAACCCCACATTAAAAGAATAACATATTTTCTTAGGGCAAGGTGGAATATCATGTGAAATAATAGATTAAAAAATGCAAATGATTGAACTATCAAATAACTTTTATTGTAATTTAAAGAAAAATATTTCACGGACATGGTCCAGTAAGTAATATAGCGAATGTGGGACTTGGCATCACTAGGTATCCTGATATGCTGATTATCTCTATAATCAGTTCAGAACATTTAACCTTTGTTGGAAAATGTAAATAGTCCATGATGAATTCCTGTGGCTTATACAATACTGCTGCCCTTGTAATAAGAAGGGAAGTGTTTCTCTTTCTTCTCTCTCTACTCTCTTTTCTCTTCTCCTCTCTCTCTCCAAAAATATTTGTTTAGATTTAAATCACTTCATTACAAAATACTTTCTCTTCTAGAAAGAAAAATTAGGAACTGAGTATATTAGGAAAAAAGAAACAGTGGGATGTAAGTTATTATCAAACTTTAGGATCATGGAGATGTTTCATAAATTCAGTTCAAATTAACAAACTGTAATTGATAGTGCTTACCTTTGTGTAGAGATTATTTTAAGGTCTCTCAAATCTAATTAAAACAGTTGTCTTTATTTTTTTTCCGGGTGCAGAGAAGGAATAACCCTATTAGATTTCTTTAATAATAATAATATTAATAATATATAATGCCTTCTTTGGTTATATATTAATGTTAGAAATATGGTCTCCTGAAACTTTCTGATCACAGAACACCCATGAAATTTTTACTCTTTTCACATAAGGCACATTTCTTAACCTTTTTATTCTTTCAGTTTACTTTTATTACTTAACATTTTCAGTGTATTTATCTGTAAAATGTAGGTAATAATTATTTTCCTGAGTCATTTTTAGGGAGGGGCCTAGTACAGTTCCTGTCAATTAGTGATTAAAAATTAGAAGCATCTTTATTCCACCCTCCCCAAAACTCACACATATCCAGGATACACATGTATGTGGGCAAAAGCTTATTTCTTTAATAAATCAACAAAATATGAATTGGCTGGTAAACACTGAATCAAAATAAGTATTTTTTTATTATTATTAAATGTAGCATGGGAGAGATTGATTAGAAAACCACCAATACAATCTTAAGTATATTAAAGATATGTAATTTGGCATTTCATATCAGAGAAAGGCCTCAAAGATTAGTATATCATGCCTCTCTGTTTGGCTCACATGCTCCTCAACACTTAGAATGACTTTGTCTCTTTTATCTATCCTTTCTTTCAACCTAATCCTCTAACCTGGCTAATCCCAACCTATCTTTTGAAGAGTTTCTCAGAAGTACTTTGTTCTGAGAAGTCTTTCTTGGTCCGCTGCCTGGTTACAGCAGGCACTCCATGTTTTGACTCACCTGACTCCATATTCTTGTTCCTATCTCAAAATAGTCATTCCATACATGTAAGTTCTTCACAAAGCTGAG